CAAAAATGACATTTCATTTTCAGGTGGACTTTTCCTTTAAAATAACAAATAATAATGTTTAGTTTAAAGGACAAGTCCACCTAAACTGACCAATAATATGATATCACTTCCAGTACAGAAGTGGAATGTCAGATTTAGGTGGACTTGTCCTTTAAACTTCCCCTGTTCCAAACGTTGCCGATTTAAACTCTGCACATAATGATAAGGACAGCTGATTATATGTAAATCTCATTATTTCCTGTATGGCCCCACCCCCTCCAATCTCATGAGCTTCCCTATTGGTCAAGGACGCTGCCTGTCATGTTAAAGAACGAATAGGGATGCTTGGAACGTGGAGGGGGGAGGGGCTCACTGAAAGAAAAGGTAACAATGAGATAATTATATATATATAGAACGCTGATGACTGATTTGATTTCTGTTGTCCTGTAAGTGACAGATACACGGGGCGATACATCCGACGTATTGATACATTCAGTTCCTGTGATTATAATACTGTATATCAGAACTTTATTAGTCATTCACGAAGTTTACAATATATATATATACTGTCCATATCTTGACACTGATCAGTATTCCTCCTTCTGGTTTCAGCTTCCTCACCCCGAGCCGCTGACAATGTGAGTACCGTGACATTCCAATCTCTCTCCAGTACACACAACAGGAAGTAAGTGGAAATCTCTCCAATGTGAGGGAACTCTCCTCTTGGATTGATGTCACTGGGACAAGTGTCCCCATTGGAAGATTTCCTCTCTGTTCCACTTCTGGTGCCAATGTAAGAGTTTGAACAGAGATTGTGAATCTCCCTAATGGGCACACAGGCATCCCTACACGGAATCTTACCCCTCACCACGCTATCCAACACTGACATAAGCGAACCCGGAGCTCAGCCTGCCGCCTGGAAATCTAGATATGGAATGGTTACATGTTATATATAATAAAGGGTTTCTCTATAGCAATGGCGTCACAAAGCATTATGGGTATTCTAAATGAATCTGTTTGACTTCAGACTGTTTCTCTCTAATTGAAACTCCCTTCAGCCCCAGGCAGGCTGGGAGGGGCAAGTGGGGCAAATAAGCCAGTCTTTAGGCTCATTCAGCTGTGTGTGTAAATTTAAGTTTACGTCATTGAGTTCAACAGGACAGTTAAGAGTAGCCAGGTAAACATGAGAAGTGGAGCCTAGAGTGCCAACTGGTGGCTGGAAGTATGAACATATAATATGTATATGTGATATTTCATGTTTAGGTGACTAATATTGCCACCAATATGTTTCTAAGCGCCGTGTTCTATATTTCTCCAGCAGGTTGTCTACTCTGAGATAAAAGCCAGAATGGAGACATGAAGATGGTCCGGTCCAGGTGCTGCTGACGTCTCGTCCTGTGTTGGTGGGGGAAGGAAGCCAGAAATTTTGTTTAATAGGCTGCAACTTGCGGGGATGGTGGTGGCGGGGGTGGTGGGGAGG